GGTATCTGGTAACAAATACGTGTGGGTATAGACGATTTGTTATACAGTAAGTACAGTTGTATGCAGTAAAATCCTAGAGGCTACTGTCCCTTTAACAGTAGATACTGTTTCCAACACCTTTTGGACCATTTCGAGTGTAAATGTCTTGTGAAAAAAAACAATGCGTACAAGCGAACAATGCGAATGGAACAACGAACATGAAATGGAAAATGGAAACCCCTTTTCCTCAAAAATGCCTACTGGGCTTTCTTCTCTTGAAATATGAACCGGGCCTACGAGCTATTTTGGACATTTAATGCCCCCGTAGAGTGCTGTCGCGTGTGCAGTGCTAGTGATAGAATAGTACTTATGAAATGCTTAAAGGACAATTGAAGTCAAATTTTCTAACTTCTGTAACGTTTTTATACATAGAAATACATTCAATAACGTATTCCATTTCAAATCCGGCGCCCAATTAGTAATAAACACCTGAATAGTAATCTAGGTCATGTGACGTCACGGCCCCAAGTTAAGCGACGCCATAATGTAAACATAGTGCGTGCGGTGGTTAAATATTCGATGTTTTTTGCTTATTTATCATGTCAAGACACAAACATGTAGCCTGTAAATGTACTTATATTCATTTACCGTACATACATATTACCTGTGTGGATAATGCATTCACGGTATATTATGTACATGACTCGCGTAGATACATGTACATGTACAGATACATGTGATTCTGACCGAGCGTGATAAGCCCGCTGATCAGTGTACTCGCATGACTCACCTGGTCTAGCGTCGAATTGGTCTGCATTTTTTAATGGAGTGTCTCAGCTTGCGTATAAACCGTTATGCGGCCGGGCACGTGTATTTGAGAGTAAACCTTTTCACACAGGTGTTTCTGTGTGCTCATACTTTGTTGCCATCACATCACGTTATCAGCGCACGTATATACTTCACATTGTGTGAGCTTACGCGCTTGCGTTCAACGCGAATACATAGAAAACGCTCACAACAGATGCCCACAAGTTTTTTGAACGTGGATTAGCAGCAGTTAGTCCGCGTTGAAGGGCTTTACACAAAGCTAGTTCACCGAAGCTGCTACATAATACGTCAGGCATAGAGTGTAGGCGTGGGGGTGACGCAGTCATACGGTGTAGGCGTGGGGTGACGCAGTCATAGGGTGTAGGCGTGGGGGTGACGCAGGCATAGTGTGTAGGCGTGGGGGTGACGCAGGCATAGGGTGTAGACGTGGGGGTGACGCAGTCATAGGGTGTAGACGTGGGGGTGACGCAGTCATAGGTAGGGTGTAGGCGTGGGGGTGACGCAGTCATAGGGTGTAGGCGTGGGGGTGACGCAGTCATAGGGTGTAGGCGTGGGGGTGACGC